GTTTTGTAGTAATTTATTAGACTACTCAATCAATGGATCATTTGCCACGAAGTAGTCTATTTTATTAAAGAATACAATGTAAAAAGTAAAACCAATGTATTTTTTTTTTGTTGGATGGCGGGTTTATTTATATGTTTTGTAGTAATTTATTAGACTACTAAATCAATGGATCATTTGTCCACGAAATAGTCTATTTTATTAAAGAATACAATGTAAAAAGCAAAACCAATGTATGTTTTTTTTTGTGATTTTTTGGTCCACAAGTGGATGGCAGGTTTATTTATATGTTTTGTAGTAATTTATTAGACTAATAAATCAATGGATCATTTGTCCACGAAATAGTCTATTTTATTAAAGAATACAACGTAAAAAGCAAAACCAATGCACGTTTTTTTTTTTTGGTCCACAAGTGGATGGTGGGTTTATTTATATGTTTTGTAGTAATTTATTAGACTACTAAATCAATGGATCATTTGCCCACGAAATAGTCTATTTTATTAAAGAATACAACGTGAAAGCAAAACCAATGTATGTTTTTTTTTTGGTCCACAAGTGGATGGCGGGTTTATTTATATGTTTTGTAGTAATTTATTAGACTACTCAATCGATGGATCATTTGTCCACGAAATAGTCTATTTTATTAAAGAATACAACGTAAAAAGTAAAACCAATGTATATTTTTTTGGTCGCTATAAAAAATTCAAAAACTTCAATTTGTTCATTTTTAATATAAAAATTTTACGCGCAATTCATTCCATTTTTGGTTATGAGGTTCTGCCTTATAGTAATAGAAGTACAATTAATTGATTATAAATACTACATACAAATCAAAAATGGTGATTGTTATTTGTCTGTTTAGAGGCAAGTTTATTAATATAATTACCAGAGTCAGAACACTAAAATCAAATGAAACCTGATTTTTATCATCTAATATGAATTTACATTTGATATTAATATTAATATGCAATGTCTGTTGACTAATAACAGATAAATTTTTTTGGTCCCAATGATCCATTATAGAGAGAGTAATTTTTATTAAAAAAAAAGTGAAATGCCACAATTATTTATTAATTTGCAAATTGTGATAAATAAAAATATAAAATAAAAAAATCTATTTTAAAATAAAATGTATTTATTTATTGTTGTTGGGTTTCTTTTTTTTTCCTCCTTTTATTAACAAAATCTTGAACTCTTTTTTTCTCCCATTGTGTTTTCTCAACTGCTTTGTTAATTTGATCCTTGGTTGGTTTAGTATCCATTTCAACAAGAGGATCCAGGATGGAATGCTCATATTCTGTTGTTTTTCGTCTCTTATTATTATTACTACTTTCACCTTCTTCAATTGGAACAGAAATATCAATAGGATTATTGTTAGAAGGATCTTCAATTTCTTCAATTTCTTCTAAATTGGTGGCCTTTTCTTTTCCTTTTTTTCTTGAGTAAATTTCAACAAGTTTTTCATATTTATATATTTTTACATTTGTTGATCTATGACCAATTGTATTTATCTCTTCAGTTCCATAAACTTCTTGGTCCAATAGGGTTTCTATCCTTCTTTTACCAATATCATAACTATTGAAAAGTGAATTAAAACCATCAGTTGTTAACTCAGGTGCCTTTTCAATTAAATGATGAGTCATATTTGGATCAAAATTTTCAAACAGATCTAATAAATCTGTTGTTAATTTCCACAATGGTTCTTTAAGTGAATTTGCTTTGTATTTCCCTGAATTTTTTTTTTTGGAATCTACAAATTCAAAAAGAAAAGAGTGCAGTCACTCTTTCTCATCTTGTACGGATTTTATTTGTAATTTAAGTGATTCTTCATCTGCTAGTGATTTTGTAAGGAATTGTTTGACAAATTTAACACCATAAGTTTCCAAAGCTTCATCAAACCCAAGATAATGATCAGGTCTTGTTAAATTAATTGAAGAAACAGTTCTTAAAATGGTATCAAATTGAGTATCCTTATCAATCATAGCTAAAAAATGACAAACTGATGTTGCATAATTCACTTTGCCTGCAACAGGAAGCAAGGGACCAAATGCTCTTAAACTTTCTATTTGAAAATCCCAATTTCCTATTCTGATACCTAATTTATGAAACCTCAATAAACTCGACCACCTTCAGTACAAAATCCATACTTTAATGAAACTATTTGGAGGATTCTCTAAAAGCTCATCAATAGATACTTGATGTTTAGTTGTAAAAATACTTAAAGCCATGCCTACTGCTACCCAAATCAATTCCAACAGCCTTGAGGTTGCCCTGTAATCTACTATTTTTTGAAAATTGGCCAAGTATTTTGCACCAAAAGCTTTTGCTAAATTAAAAATCCCATATCCTGAAAAAATGTTGATGAGCACACTACACATATCTTTATTAGTGTGCCATTGGCCCAGAATATGACAAATCTGAATATCAGGATTTATGATTTTTTTGTAATTTATAATCCTTCTGAATATTGCCTCATCAGCAGCTATATCCAAAAAACCATCAGCTGTATTAATTTCATCCAGAAACATTTCAATTGATTCATAAATGCCATGATCATCATCAGGCTTTCCACCTGCTTCTAAAACCACAACTTTTGGAGGTGGTACCAATGTTCCTTTTGGAATATGTTTAATGATTTCTTGATAGATTTCCTCATCATCAACTTTATTAAAACTTGCACCACTTAATGAGGTCTGATAATTTAATAATCTTTTAAAAACATCCTCAAAGAGTTTTATTTTTTCAGAAGAAAATTGATTAAATCCAAATATGTTTTTTTTTCATAAATCATTGATTCTTCACCAACAATTTCATGAATAGGTGAAGGAAGAGTAAAAAAAAAGCACATTCTAAGTACAACATGGAATGATGTTCTTCCATCATTACAATAATTATTATGCTTGAAGGTTTTTTGTTTTGTATCTAAATTATCAATGACCACTAATGGCCAAATATTAGGACCACTTATAATTCTAGATTTAGGATCAACCTTTTCCATTCTTTTTATTTCCAAACGACGTTCATGATCTTCAGTATGTGATATTACATGAAGTGAATGTAATATCAACTGAAGTGAACCTAAGAATTGGGGTCTTCTGCATAAACTTGCAAATAAATTTGTAAACCAAATCTTAGATCTCCTAAAGCCATTTTATGACAATAGATGATAAAAAGGTAGTGATTTTAATTAATTGCATTGGATCTTGTTCTGTATCATCAATCTTTGTTTTTAAATTGTAATATTTTCTTTTATATTTCCTCAACTCATGATGATGTTTTAATATTACTCCAATAAAACCATCAAAAAACATAGTAATCACTTTTGGAATTGCTTGGTAATATTCTATCAATGAATTTGGCTTAGCAAGTTGCTGTTGATGCTCATTAATATGTTTTCTACTTTTTAATATAAAATTGCCTAGAGATTCTCCATAATTAAAAGATTGATCTGGATTTAAATTACCCTTTTGATTTTCATGTAATTTATCAGCACCTTTTACTTGCAAAATTGTATTGATTAAAAATGGGCTTGGCAAATGTGAAGGGGTCTCTTGACAGGGTTTTTGAGGAGTTTCATTATTATTCCAATGTGCTACTAAAGAAGGCAAAATGTTGGATAATAACTTTTGTTTTTCTTCAAAATTGCCTGAGTTTGCAACATCTGTGATTCAGCTTCCAATTTTCCTTAAAACTTGCTCCAAATCATTTTCATGTGAGCATTTTTTTGATGCTTTTCCTTTACCTGGTGGATTATAAATATGACATCCTTTTTTATAACAACAATCTTGACAAATATATCTAGGGAGAGCATTAGCAATATTGTTGGATTTTTTGTTTAAAATTTCATTAATTGTAGATGGACATGTAAATTGACAAATGCATGATATTAAGAGCTTCCTATCACTTATTTGCCAAGAATGTTTATTACAATAATTGCCTCTTGAATAAATATTAAAAATCTTGTGGCAGAATAAACATCTCTTTGATAGCATTTTTGCTTGATTAACTAATTTTTCCTGTTTTGATCCACTAGGATGATATGAGGGAGTTTGATCTAAGTTAAAATGATATTTACAAACTCCAAGTTTTCCTAACTCCTTATCTGCATCCTTGACACTAACTTTATTAATTTCCCATACCCCAATGCATTGTTGTAGCCTTCTATAACTATTTTGAGTGCAAGGCATGCTACATCCTTTTTCTGAATCAAAAATCATTAAAGAACATTGTGGGAAATAGTCATCATTGCTGTCATCACCAATTGATATTTCATTGTCTTCCTCAAAATCTATTTGAAAAATAAAAATTTTAAATTCAAGAACTTATTTATTTTAATAAAAATAACAATTAATTTGCAATTCATCAGAAATGGAAAGAAATTATATAATGCAAAATTTCTCAATTTTATAATAAAATAATTTTTATTATATAACTTTATCTACTGTTGACACAAAACCTTATTATCAAGTGTCACATTCATGCATAATAAAAACATTAGTATAATCTATAATATCTTTTTTGTTAAAAAATTATATGCCAGTAAAGTATGCATTCAAAATCACTAAATTATTAAACTATTATATACTATTAAAATGTATGTTGATCCTTTCCATTTATCACAAATTGCAAATTAAACATTTAAATAAAAATTACCATTAAATTCTTTATCACACTCAATTTCTTCATTGTAACCACCATCAATTTCCTCATCATAATCATCCTCAAATTCTTCATTCTCCTCAACAAAACTCTGAAATATGTCAGAATCATGAATTTCTTCAAATGCTTCAACTTCAGACAAAATTTCTTCAACTTCAGATAAATTTTCATATGTAGACATTGTGCTTTGAATAAAATTTATATCAAAAATCTTAAAGATAATAAAACTGAATATAAGAAAGCAAGGTAAGTGTTTTTAAAAAAAATTTTGTAGGTAATATATTCAATAATTAAAAATTTTGTTTTATTAAAAATTAATTGGATTAAAACTCTTGTATTTATAAATTTTTCAATAATTATTATTTCAAAATTTAAAAAGTAAAAATAGATTTATATCCGAGAAAATCAATGATTTGTTTGTTGTTCAAAAATGGCAATATTCAAAAATAAAAAATCTAAAAATAGTTTTTTTAAAAAACCAAACTAAGTAATATTTAATTAATTTTTGTACTACAGATCATCAATAATGAAATTATTATTATACTTTTATATATATACTTCAGAGAAACAAAGTATTAAAATATAGATCATACATATACTCCCTGGACAAAAGTTTTGGTCACTACAAACAATTAATCACGCAAAAATGTACATAATAAAACATAAATAAATTTCTTTTTTTTTTTTTTTGGTTTAATGACGTAGTCTTGCCATGACATTTTATTGGTTTGAATTTTACATATGAAATTAAAAAAAGAAAATTACATAGTAATAGAAATAAAACAATTTT